GGGCATGCCAGATTTCCAATGGTAGCCGTTGCACCAATAGTGGATTCATCGTCGTTTTTTTTTTTATCTTAGAATGGGTTAAATTCTGTAATTTTCCTTACTCCTCTGTGTTGCAAACATTTGAAAGTCACATTTACGGTAAGATAAGATAAGATAAGATAAAGTTTTTTGCTAAAATACATGTATCTGTATACATATAGAGTTTACAATCACAAAATTGATGATTATATTAACAAGACAAGTATAAAGCAATTAGGTGGAAAATAGCTCTTGGCTGTTTTGATTATTTTTTCCACCTAATGTTAGTAATAATAACAAAATATTTCAATTAAATAGATTTAAGGAGAACGATTAGAGATNAAGCAAACTTATAGGCCTATAATTTGTAAAATTATCCGTTTCCCCAGCCTTGAAGATTGGGACGATTTTTGCAGTTTTAAGAGTGGTAGGAATAAACCCAGTTTTGAAAGATAAATCAAATAAATGACAGATAGGACCCATGATAATTGGTATGATAGACTTTAGCAAAATTGAAATTTTGTCTGGTCCAGAACTGTTTTTTACTTTTCGTAAAAATCTTACAAACGACGCCATATTTAATGAATTGACTAACCTTTGAATTTTTAATGCATTTTTGGAGTTTTTCCAGCTTTGAAAAGAAATTAGTAATTCGTCTTGTGCCGTAAATACAACAATCCGCCATTAACAGCTTGCTCTGTTAACGGTTTAAAAACTGCAAATAAAAGCTTTTCTTTCTCCCTAAGAGTAATTTTTAAAAAGCCATCGCTCCAAATTGAAATAACAACTTAAATAACAAACGTTCCGTTCTTAAAAACTAACGGCCACCTCAACTTTTTTTTAACAGATAGTTACATAATATACATAAAAAACCGCACAAACCTATATCTTTGCAGCAGGATTTACCAAGTTTAAGTTTGTGGCCTTAACATATATCCTTTTGTTCAATTTCTAGCACATTAACATATAAACTTCAAATTTGTAACTGTATGTGAGATGAGGAAAAAAATTAATGATTTTCAGACAAAAAAAAAACATTCTAGCTGTAATAAATAGTATATAATGAAATATGTTGATTTATTACTGAAAAACATAACACATACTTCAAACTAAGGCAAATTACTGTTATATTTATAACAAATTACTGAACTAAACTATAGACATGTTATAACTTATATTTATAACAAATGTAGCAAATAACTTACACATTATGATAAGAAGAAAATTCGTATATTTCAAAATTACAATACTCCAAGATTATAATAAAAGAAACCAGAGAACAACTGCTTGCATAAATCAGTGTTGTCACGTGCGAAATTTATGCTCGAATTTTTTTTTCTGTGTTCATTATAGTCTGTATGTCCTGTTTTGTCTCTTGCGTTTTTGCGGTCAATCTCATTGTCATTAAAATTGTCAACGATAGTCCCTTAATTATAGCATATATTATTGGTCAATATTAGAAACTTTTATTTATTTAAACAAACCTCTTCCATGATTATTAACTATTTATAAGACTGGCATTTTGGTTTACAGTGTTATACAGTTTTTGAACATAAATGTTCTCTTTATTGAGAAGGTTCATGCCTTTTCAGATTTAAATTTTGTCCAACAACTTCATAGCACGTCGTGCCAAAATAATAGTGTTATATGGGTAATTTTATGAAATGTTATTTCAATGGCTGTTTCTATAGATCAAATAAACTTTAAAACAAAGCAAAAGTCACAATATAAAGTTTATTTCAATTTTATTTTTATTTCAATTGAAAAAAAAAACATTTTGGATTTATTCTAAATTTTTTGGGAAAAATCCGGGAACCAATCAAAACTTTATAGCACACGCTAATTTAACATAATATCACGATGATTACTTTATATCACGTTCATTATGAATTAATGATGAAGTACACTATAGTTTCTTAAAATAGTCTAATGAAAATGTGTTGCTACTGTTGTTGCAACCAAGAACGGAATAGTGAGAGTTTTCAAGGGCGTATACAGAAATAAATCCCTGTTGGCTCCTATGGGGGGGGGGGGAGCAACATTTGAATTGTAAATTCAAAATATTTTGCTTCTTGGATATCAGGCATAAGTTATAGATACTCTAAAGATTTGCAAACAACCTGTCAAAGGAAATTTGCACATTTTTAGTTTTTCTTGATTAAAAATCAGGTTATTTAAAACTTTGCAAAAATGTTTGCATATTTGAAATGGCTTTAAACAAAAATAGTAGAAAAACATTGTTTCTAAAAAATCTACCTTTTATCATACTGTTATGCTAGTAATGATTAGCATTTAAACTAGAGATAGTAAAACACATGTTTGAAAATGAAAAACTTAAACTGAAATTCTTTGAGATGAAAAAAAAGACAAAGGTTCATCATTTAAATGTTTGCTATGGCCGGCAAAACGACTGAATCAAATGAGCTTAATTTTAGTGAGAACACTTCTGGGTACCCTTGGGGATGACTTAAGCTAAAAAAAATTTGATTTTTTGTTTTCATTCGAATTTTTAAATTCCACGGGCAACGCCGGGCACTTCAGCTAATTTGTAATAAAAAGAAAGATTTAGAACGGCGGTGCAATGAATAAAGTAAATTAAATCCAAATTACAAAAAAAAATAATTATGGTCTTTTACTACCTCCAAACGCAAGCCTTTGTGGCTTGGCATTTAAAAATAATTGTTTTACCTCGCTATCCATGATAGCGCCCATTCGATTAGGATGAATGTGCATTCTAGATCTTCACTCTCCTGTTTAAGATTTGGAACTCACTCTCCTTTACATGTATTGGATGGGGCATTGCCCCCCTTGCCCCCCCTGAATACGCCCTTGGTTTTTTTATGGGAAAAAAAACTGAGGAATAAGATGAAACAAATGTTTATACTAATTTTCTCATTATTGAAAATAATTATACTTATATTATTCACTTATAGAATACATCTAATCTATCTGTTCTGGATTTGAAATAAACAAAAAAGTACATTGTATGAATTAAAAATACTCCCCTTCACGGACCTTATACTTCATCAAAAACTTTCGTTCATGCACTCCATAGCTTTATGGATCCAGTGTTCCCCAGGAATTTAGATATTGAGATGCACCAATACCCGTTAAGAAATCGAGATGTACAAATTTATTTATAAATACATTTCCTTTGTATTCTTTCACTTCCTGTTGGAATGAACTTGACCCAGCTTTGTCTTGTATTGCTAGTAAAAATGAATTTAAATATAAACTTAAGCAACATTTTCTGGATAGATTATCGAACTTTACATGCCATCGGCTATTTTGCTATAATTGTTCTACTCTATAGTTTGTTAGATTAGATTGGGGTTCCCAAGGTCTTTAATATGATCTGTTCATATTCTTTAATACTTGATACATATAATGAATATCATATATATGTATCCTTGTCTGAAGAAATATTCAGCTTATTATTGATCTCTTATCTTGATCAGAATAAAATGTAGTAATAATATTTCTTGATCAAGAACAATCTTTTACATTATTGAGCCTAAAACTTTTTGTATTTCTGACTGTTAAGATTGACGCTATGTCTCCGCCTCCTGTTCTCCAACCGCCACCGCCGCTACTCTTCGCCATTTATGTGCTCCATTAATGCACATTGCTAAACGTTTGAATCTAAATATTATTATGCTGAACCAGGGGAGCTCGTGTGAAAACAGCCTGAGCTATCTTGTAGCTCCCCGGCCACAAAATATATATATATAATTGTATTGTCATTTTTATTGATATGAATGTAGTAAATTTGTGGCCCAATAAATGATTTGATTTGATTTGATTTGATTGTAGATTGTGATAAAATATCTTTTTTCTTCTTTATATATTTGCTTCCATCCATTTTTCATGGTTTATCAGAAATTATCAAATCAAAGAAAAAGGTAAAAAAAATCACTAAAAAATGCAAAATCCCTGGAAATTTGAGAAATTTCCCAAATTCGCAGGAATCTAGAAATTTCCCTGGGAGAATCTAAGAGTGGTTTATTTTTCAAGTATTGGACATTCATGAACTGCTTAGCTATAGGATAATTTCCCAAATTTCTATTTATAGGCATTTCAGAAATCCCAAATTGTTTGTTTTTAACCAATTATCGTCAAAACTGCTGAACCAATCTGGCCAAAATTGTCTTGTGCAGTTCGAAGGTTCTAAGTTTCGCGGGATGTTCTAAAAAAATAATAGTTTGTTTTAAATAAAAGAAATTCTAATTATATTGATGTTACTTCAGTTGATTCAGTTGTCAAGCAGCTTTATCATGTATGATTCTAGCAGTATTTTTATTAATCCTGGAATTTCCAAAATGTAGTCTGCCTTTATGGTGCTTTCAATATGCCGGAGATATTGAAATAAATAAATTAAAAATGATATTTAAAAGAAAGAAAGAGGAAGGAAAATAATAATATAAATAATAATAGTAGTGATAATAATAGAAATAATAATA